CAGAGGGAACTACTGGGGAACTTCTAGAAAAGATGTCAAAGAAAAACTCATATGGCGAAATCTTCCACCAAATCACCCACTGATGGTATGCGCCTCGGCCCGGGCCGAGAGGCGTCTGGAACAAGCAGACCAGGATTGGCCCCGATCCCATCGCAAAATTTGTGGCCGCCCACTTGTCCCCCCCCACCCCTTGTGGGACCTGCCCGAACTGCTGGGACCTACGGGCACACCACTTTGGCTTCTTCCTTCGTCTGTGATGCCCCGCGTTGGGCCGGCCCCGCGCGCAAGCGCTTACAATCAACATCACGGAAAGAAATTTGCCAACAAAAACGCCGTTGCCTACTTCGAACATTTTCGGGCCGTCTGTTGTCTACTTGTTGATGGCTTCGGGTCAGGGTGGCGCAGGGAGAGCGCCAAGATGTCAAGGACTCGTGGTGCCGTTTTCCTTCTGAGGCCCTCCGAAGAGTCTCACGAGCTCGAAGGTGCTGTGTTGAAGAGCTCGGTAAACGAGTTGCAAGCATATAGCGTGGGCTGAGCACAAGCCCTGCAGGCCTCGGTGGCGGCCGGGCGGTCTTTGTAAGGGCCGCTCATGTGAATGTCTATACCTGGTCAAGGAACAGGTCTCCAGCTGTGGAAGAACGTCTTGCCCTGTTTTCACGCATCTTCATATGCCACTGTTCTCCTGCCTTGGGTGCCCCTGGCAATTTGGTGCCAGCCCTGTCGGCCTCCCCGGTCCTGGCGACTTCCAAAGCCAAGTCGGTGAAGCCGTAAAATTCACCTAATTCGCCTAGTTTCATGTCCTTTTGCAAGGTTTAAGGGATTGTAATTAGGGGCTTCAAGAGCGTTGGCCACAAAGTGGCTGGACATGCTCTGGGATTTCTTCTACCTTGCTTGTGCTTCGCACAAAAGAGCTCGTAGCACAAGCTCTCTACAACACTCTCTTTTCGAAGGGATCCCGCACATTGTCAAGTACAGAATGGTGACCTGGTGGGCACATGCAACAACGGGAGTGGAGCAAATCGGCTAAGTAGTAGCATTGTTAGAGCGAATCGGGCAAAATTAGAAGAAGGAATCGTAGTAGAAAGAACCGCATGGGTAGACGGAACCGGTCGAATCGCATGCAGAGTGAATCGGGGGGCTTCTCCATGTAAGGCGTTCCTGGCAGCTGGAACGCTTAACGGCTTAACGTGGACTCCAGTCGGCTGCGGCAGGCGTCAAAGAATCTCCCGCTGACCCTTTCTCTCTCTCTCTCTCTCTCTCTTCCTTCCTTCCTCTCTCTCTCGCTCTCTCTCTTTCTTTCTTTCTTTGGGGCATGAGGGGCAAGCCCCCCGCGCTGCTCGCGCGCCCCCACTTTGGGGTAGTCGGTGGAACGATGGAACTCGGAGGGTTGACGTCCCCCCATCCCCCTGTTGCCATCGCAGCCCATCCCCCGAGTTCCCGCTCTCGTTTGCTGGCACCTCTCGTTTGGTGTCAGTTGGTGCAGAAAACAAAATTCGGCCTCTCTCTCACTCTCTCTCTCGCTCTCTCTTCTTCTGAACAGCTCGCTCTCTCCTCTCTCTCGCTCTCGTGATTTCTGTCTGTGTCCCATTCTGCCTTTCTTCTTTTCTTACTCTCTTTCTCGGTCCACGTTGCTTCTCCTCTAAACAGAAGACGGACTTCATGGCATAGTAGAGGCCCGGACCACATGCAACTGCTTTGAAATACAGACTTTCGTGCCTCAAACAAGACTCATGTCATTTTGCTAACAGCATTCTAGGGTCAGTGTTGGTTTGTATCCCGAGTATCAGTGTTGATTTGTATCCCGGATTTCAGAATCTGTCAGAACCTTACGTTCTCGACACCGTCAGCAAAACAATCCCTGGCTAGCAGCCTTTAACTCGAGCCTGCCCACGAAGATCGGACTCTCTTGGCCATGGAAGGTACGTGCTACCCAGATTTGCAAAGCCAGTGTTCCTCAGCTGGAGCTTTAGACTTTGGCCTACAAAGAGCCAGCGCCGTCTGCTCAAGATTCTCAAAACTGGGGCCCAGCTTCCCGTCGCCCTTGAACCTGGGACAACACAAAGCCAGTCAACATACCAACTGATTTGCTATAAGAGTACTAAGAGAGCTCAGTCCAACATGCTTGTTGCACTCTCTAAGGCGAGACGAACTCAATCCAGGTAGCTGCAGATAGTAGCCGAGGACCTGGATGTCATGGGTTGCGTAGGCTGAGAACCGAAGCTCCACGGTGCAAGCTGTAGCTAAACCTGAGAAGGCCAGGAGCGTCAAAGGTTCACACATCTTCTGTACCATCAAGCAGCGTGCTGCACAGCGATGCTACCTATGAGAGGCGCAAACCTGAAACCCGAACAGCGATGCTAAGCCAAGGCTCTTCGGCCACACTCGATCCCCGAGCCCGGGATGGAGTGCCAAGCCCCGCAGAAGTAGTGAAGTTCTCCGGGTGTGGGATACACTGTCTTCATGGCCTCGTCCAGGAAGAGGACGGCGCCTAGCCATCTGAGGCGGTCTTTCAATCGTGAGGGTGCGTGGTAGCCTTTTTCCATTATTCATCGCGAGCAGCAACCGGAAGCCCAGTGTCAACCACCCCCAGCTATCCCAACCTGCGCGCTTGAGTCGAGCTCCAAAAATAAGAAGAGACGTCACGAGATCAGACGCCGATTGGGCCTTGGCAGGGGAGCACACAATGTCACAATGAGTCATGATCCCAAGACAAATGCGGCTGTGAGCGCGTTTTGTGTCCAAGCGTCACTGGCGACGAGGCATTGGCGGACATCGGAGGGGTTGCCTTGGGGAACTTCGGCTCTGATGTGGATCATGCAATGTGCCAGCAATGTGCCAATGCTTTTCCGAAATTCAAGATTTGTGCCTCGAAAGGACTCTACTTCTACTCTGCCCACATGCGCTGTTCTTGGGCTCTCAATGAGACAACTCCAAGCAGCTGAAATCGCTGGCTGTGAGGTAGATGCCAGATTGTCCACCGCTCTCGAAATTGAATCTCTTCCATGTGCCATCATTGCCTTGATGTAGCTTTAAAGATCGACTTGACCCCGCTCCTCCACACTCACCCCGAAGTCGAGTGACGTCCAGAGTAGTGGCCCGCAATTGACTTTTGCCCGCGGAAAATCCTCTGGTGGTCCAGGGCAACAGCATGCACAAAGTCCGACTACATGATGTTACATGCCTATGACTATGAACCCACCACGAACTGCAGCGGATCCTGGCTGAAGAAGCGTCATGAGACGCACCATACTCCAGGGTGACTCTGTAGATCCGCACCTCGGGTTCGGCTCAGGGTTCCGCGGGGTGCCTCTGTGGGGGGATGCCTCCGTGGGGGAGCTTCGTGGGAGCGAGCTCTCAGGCCTCGTGTATAGAAGTTCCAATCGTCAGAGAAGGGAGGAATAGGGAAGTTCTGAAGCAGAGGTCCTTTCAACATATCAAGACCACGTGGAGATCCGTCTTACGGCAAGAGACAACTCAAGCTGTGCAAAACCTTGCCCAATAGCACAGAAATGCACAGAAGCTAGGGCAGCTAGGATGGGAACCGGCTGGCTAACATGCATGGCAACCCGAGATGCAACAGTAGATTTGCAACGCGGGCCGCCACTCTGGTTGGCCAGCTGTTTCGCTTTTTTTCAACGCGAAAGCTGCAGCGTAGCAGCCGTCAGCACCGACATGCTTCAAAGCAGTAAGGGAATCCGAAATGACAAGCAGCTAAGCACAAAATAAGGCTCTCAATGGGAATTAGTTTTACCAGGTTTGTTTAGGAGGAGTTGCCATTGTTTTCTATCATTAGCTACTGGTGCTATCGATCTATGTAGGGTTTGTGTTTTGGTTTTTGAGAGTTTAGGTTTGATGGTTCAGTTTAGGTTTGCTACATAGAACTTGGAAGTTTACCAAGCCAACTAGACTGGCGAAATTCCGCCAAAGATTGCTAAGTTCTTGGCAAAGTCGCGTGGTGTCCAGATGAACCATGGAGGTACGTACTACCGTGCGCAGAAAGAATTTCTTGCACATTCGGGATACGAAAATAAGTATTGTGTAGATCCATGCTAGAGCGGGGGAGATCCGATTGTATGTGCTGTAGTCGATGTGATGCCTCGGTGAGGCATGAGGCCGCCCAATGGACTCTGGGTCGACCTGTTCGGTTATTGCCATACCCTCCGCGGTAGGCATGTGTGCTGGAAAAGACCACTTGGCTTTCCAACGTATCTGAATGTCGTAATATATGTCCCATAAGCTTTTATCGATTCTGGGAGTACAAACGGGAGGGAGGTACAGCCCGACCCGATTTGTAGGCTAGCTCATGTAGAAATTCATTGGAGCAAGGTGCATTAGAGGGGTCAATGACTTCATGATAATAGGAGGACTTAATCTTGAAGATACGGCACAAATTTTTATAGTGAATCGAATCCAAATGAATCAATTGAGCGTGCGTCAAAGTGGCGCTTTCTACAGCGTAAAGGAGAATACAGAAATGAACAGAAAAAGATAGAAAAAGTGTAGTGTAGTACAAACAAAAGTGAACCGGTGCTGTTGCGAAAGTTGTGTCCTGGGCTGTCCCCAGGGCCGGGACGGCTCGAGCCCGAGCCCAGCTGTTTCGTTTGGTATTCTCGTTTTGGAAGTCATTTCTGTTCGATGTTTGTAGATTCTGTTTAAAATGGAGAGCGACAGATCATTCTACAAGAAGAGACTTCAGAAGTAGTAAAGAGGAAAGTAGAAAATTGTTTTCGGTTTAGCTATTTGCTTTTCCTGTCCATTCAACTGCAACGCGTTCTCTCGGTTCTACACCACAGCCGCCCCCTCATTTTTGGGGTTGCATCTTGGGCCGCCAATCCTGTCTCGCCTTCTGGCATGTCGGCCTCAACCCCTAAACCCTAAACCCTAGAGGCCCTAAACCCTAAACCCCAAACATCCCCAAACCCTTAGTTGCATCCCTTGAAGCTAAGAAACTTCGGAACCTATGGAGGCTGTAGCATTGTCAGGATTGTCAGCCGCGCGGCAACAGCCGCCTCCACAGCGTGTCGCGCCTCAACCTCTGCAGACTTCGGGGCTCGCCCATGCTCGCCCGACTTCCCGCCCAAACCGGACCCAAACAGCCCCCAAACAGCCCCCAGACTCGAAAACTCATGCTTGCGCAGCGTCGGGGGGGTCGCCCAAACACTCAACTCAGAGGTTGCTGAGATCTGCTGAGGGCAACTCTCCAAGCTCTGAGGACTCGATTTCAATTGCCCCAGTCACCCCATTGAACTGATTTTCAGGATGCCCGGAGCCGTCAAGCAGAACGAGAGCCCGGGCCTTACACGGATCGTCAGCCGTGCAAGCAAACCACGACCAATAGCCGCACCTTGGCTGTTTGGAATTTTTGGCAGAAGGGCACTGGAGAGGCTCAACCCCAACCGAATGCAACACTTTGGCGAAGACTCATATTCTGAATCACTCCGTCCGAGCTGGCTCGCCAGCCGAAGGTCTCGGCGCTGTCGCTCGCCTGCGACTTTGAAAATCGAAGAGATCGCCCTCGCAACTGATCTCAAGCCTTTTTGGGGTGAGGCTGTTTGTGCACATCCTTCAGCACGCTCAAAAACCTATGATTCATAGGAGGACGGTCCTAGGGCTTGTCAGGCTTCTGCCCACTTACATCCACCTTTCATCCACTTACATGCATTTACATCCTGCTCTTCCCACTTCGCTCCGGGGTGGAACTGGAGGAACTGGAGGCGAATTTTGCGGACCTTGAGCCGGACGTGGAGGTGTCGGACGCTGCTTGCGTCGAAGTTGGAGGGAACTGTGACTCTGGCACTGATGCAAAGTCGCGCCGTGTTGGCCTGGGGGTACCTCGGCTCATGGCAGACCCAAGCAAAGTTAGACTCCTTGAAGTAGAGGTCTTTGAAACAGCCGCCGGCACAACCGCAACCCCACAGCTGAAAGCGCCAACCAGCGCAAAATGCAGTCGCCAGGCCAATCGTCCATTATGAGCTCCTTCGAATTGAGCACTTGCCAAGTGGTGCCTGGCATGTTTGCACTTTCTAATATGTGCTGGTGAGAGCATGCAGTCGACTGCTGCAACGCAAGGCTAATTTAAGGGGGGTCTTGGGGCAAGGGATTTAACTCAGGGCTTCCAGTCTAGGACCCCCTTTGGTCACCAAGCAGCTTCGCAAAGAGAATATGACAATTTTGAGTTGCAAAGCCATCGAAAAAGATGCCCGTGGGCCACTTTCGAAGACATCGGCACAGTAGAGATGTTGAGAGGGGACAGCAGGACAGCATCCTACAGTGCACTCTCAACACTCTGCCAGACGCAGTCAGCCAAGCACAGTTATGCCGCCTGCTTGATTCCACTCCATGTTGACAAACAGATCGAGGCTGCCCTCATATGAAGCAATCCTCAGGCATCAAACAGGACCCTTGAGCAGCGGGCTTGAGCCCGGTCTTGTTCTTGCGGGTGGAGCATTGCGAAATATTGCATTGCAACGGACCGTTTGGGACCGTGGGGGGGGGGGGGGGGGGGGGGGGGGGGGGGGGGGGCGGGGGGGGGGGGGGGGGGCACAAGAGGCGAATTGCTCAAACCATTGCTCAGAGAAGTGCAATGCAAAGCCTACAAAACATGAAGAAAGGCCCAGCTTCCGGTTCGCGCGCTGGAGCAGCCAGTCCATCTTCACCTGTCTGAGCTTCGAATTACAAGAAAGGTTGCTACAGAAGGTTGCAAGCTTTCGAAAGGGTGTCGAAAGATCCTTATTAAAGTGCAACTTTGACTTGAGCCCTGCCTTTGGATGCATTGCATGGAATCTGAGCAGCATTTGGAACATCCAAGAAACTTACTTCGTTGGTACAGAAAGATACAAGATGCGTACAGAAGTCAGGGAACTCACCAACAAAACCTCCAGCCTGGCCGATTGCGCCCTTGCTCTTGCAGTCGACGACTGCAGGACGGAAGGCTGCGCCGTACTGCAGGTCACCAGTTGAGGGTTTAGGGCCCTAGGGGGCTTTTGAGTGGTCAACTAGCTTTATGCAGGTTTCAGATCAGGGATTGCATCTCTCGAGTCCAGCAGTTTATAGGGTGCGGCTGTCGAGTTGTCCCGGTGTGTCACGCATGCTATGCTCCTTAACACGTCTCTCTTGGACGAGAACAAATCGTCCAGGAAGATATCGTGAATACGCCTAAGTCTAGGGCCTCATGGCCCTGAGGGGGCTTCGGGTTCACAAGGGTTCCTCGATCTCTCTCCTTTAGGTTTCAAGTCTCGGCTCAAAGTTGAAGAGGCTTCGGATCAGAGTCCAGTTTCCCTGCACTGCCTCCAGGTGGTACTCGTTGTGAAGGTTCCAGAGCAAGTTGACCATGTCTTCTGTAGGGATTTGCTGCGCTGGCTTGCGAGCGTCGCAGCTTTTGTGTACCTGGGCTGCCCGCGGCACAAACCCCGCTGAGCCCACCTGTCAACCATGTGACTCAGCCGCATCGAAAACTGGCTTACAAACTGGAGAGCTACCGTTTCCCTCCCATTGTCTTTCTGAATGCAGAGAAAGCTGTCGGGGGGCTGGTATCGGGCTGTCGCCAACGAGTGCCTGCTCCATGCACTGGTCGCTGCCCTCGAGCAGCTTCCTTCGATGAGAAGCACACACACACATATCGTCAGCGTGAAGGAACCACTGATCATCTGGGCCATGTACCATGAGCTTTTTGAGAAGCTTCCCAGTACTCTCAGTTCACCTTATCACAGCTGCGTCTGAGCTTCACCACACGGCTGTCGGAGTAAGGGGTGCTCTTGAACTCGACCAGCATGTTTGTCGGGCAAGAGGCCTGGCAGCGCTCTGCGAAAGTTCTCTTGTGCCACAGATGTCGGATGAGTTTCTGGATTTCCGCCCCCCGGATTTCCGCCTGCAGTGTCGGCCGCAGCTCATCCCCGTTGCCAAAGCCCAAGCAGTGGACCTTGGGGTCACAGTGCACGGGTTTGGCACTCCGCACTCCAGAAAAAGCTCCTCCGTAGATCCCAGGCCACTGACCTGGCTGGAGGAAGACCCTGTGAAGAATGCGAGTCGGAGATGGGCCAAGAACCATATCTCCTGCAAGTTCTTCTCGTATACCTCGAGAATGGGACACAGGATTCCATGCTGCTTTGCCAGGTTCTTGCTTGCAGCCGGGTGCACACGCTTGAATCCGGCACCACCAACCTGCAGGCATTGTTGGCATCTGAACTTGCCCAGCTCGACCTCGCCGTGTGAGTTGAACCTGGGGCAGAAATTCTCGAGGTCGCAGAGGTCCTAGCGCATTCTTTTAAGGCCTTCGCGCCGCTGGGTTCTAGCCAAGCAGCCACCCTCCATTTACGCAGTAGAGGCTCTCGCCGGTGTTCGGACTTTCGTCGTAGAACCCCTCGTACCGCTCTGCCCAACAAGTCACGGAGAGTTTGGTACCGTGGGCAAAGGTGTCATTCAACCTGAGAGCGGTATCAGCGTAGCACAGCACTTCAGGTCAAAGTTCTTCTGCGGCTACACTCCTTTAGGGTCTGTTTCGAAGGAAGCGAACCCGAAGGTGGCATCTGAGAAGCAGGGTTTTGCCCTGCCAAGCATGGGATGCTGGATCCCGATAGGCAGGCCTCCGGAGGACAAAGGCTCTCTCCACAACTGTTGGATTCTGTTGGATTGCAACCTCCACATGTTGAACAACTCCTGTTTTCTGCCTGCAAACTATTGCAAAGTCACTGAACCCTGGCTGTGTCTTGAGGCCTCGGGTCCTTGTGGTGGCCGCAAGGGCCCTCCCTCTACTTTGGCGCCAACTTGCGAGAGTCTGAGAGCGATAGGATTGGGATGTTCCCCCCTTATACTAACAGTCCTTAATCCCCACCCCACAGCTAACGATGTGGGAGCCTTCCTGCCGTTTTCTCGGACTGGTGTGGGCTGGTAAACGTAGCGAAACTTCGCCGCAGGCTTCTGTCGTGGGACTCTCCGCCGGAATTCTTCTCTCTGCAGGCTCCTCTGGCGGTGGTCTGACCAGGCTCCAGGCCCAGCAGGCCGGGCTTGACACCGAGGAGGCGAGGAGCATGGTTGACTCAAAATCTAAACCCCACACCAAGGGCAAAAACAGGATGATGGGGTAGCAGCGCTGAAACAGACAGAGGGAGATGAACAACTGATGAATTCAATTCAAGAAGGTGGTGCAGCCCGACAAAGCGGCAAAGAGTGCGCCCCTCCCCCCCCCTTCGATCCTGTGTTGCAGCGTGCTCAAGTCGACCTGGCCTTGCACAGAACTCAGTCCCACCACCTCAGGGCGCAAGACAAAGAGCCTCTTGCGCAACGCGGTGCGCAGAGTTTCGTATTTGGAGCTGCACTCCGCACATGCCCAAGAGCGCTGCAGGACTGATGCCACGTAGATTATGCTGAAGATACGAGACAGTTCCCCCCCCCCCCCCCCCGCGATAACTTTTACAGGGAGAGTCAAGAGAAAGAAGCCCTGGGAGTTGCATGCCCAGCTCGGCCTCCGAGGATGAGATTCAGGTCGCACTGCACATGGAGATTCCAGTACCTGAAGGGCTGCGAACCTGAGATGCTGGAGTTCAACATCAATGGGTAGATGCAGACAAAAAATGTAAGAAATGTAAAAAAAAAAAAAAACAAGAATATGCAAAAACAAAAAATGCAAGAAGCCCCCATTTTAAGGAAATCGGGAGCCAAAGGGGCTCATCGTCGTGGCCAAGTACGCACGGCGGCCTGTCACCGCGAAGCACCTCTCCGGGTCTGCCACGTGGCAGCTGTCCTCCTGGGTCCAGAAGCATATCCAAACGAAATGAGATTCGACATACATTATGCTTCACATGCAATTTCATATCCACTTTTTACACTAGTTTTGGACATGGTTTTTGTTCAGAAAAGGCCGTATCAGTAGGGGCACGACTTGAAAATTGAAAAGTAGGGGGCAAGCACAGGCTGCAGCTCCCCCCAGTGTGATCAACATCATTCCACACAATCCAGCCTTGGGCAGCGCAACCAGGTCGCCTTCTAGGGCCATCTCCTGAGGAAGATGCGACACGCAATCTACCCTGCATGTACCGCTCAGCCACACGACATATTCGATTCATCAGAAGATTCTCTCCGAAGCTACCATGGACAGTGTTCCTGACTGGTAAAATGCGCGATCCCTAGCCCAAAAAAAAAAGCTCCCGCACGATGTGGTCACACGTCGAAAAGAGCCTGGGCAGGTTTATTGAGATCGCTAGAAAAGGGCAGGTTTCATTGCTGCAGGCGCAGGGTCCGGAAAGCTGATCCTCATGCTTCACCGTCCCATCCCAGTACCCCGGCGGACCTGCAGGTGATTGCTCCAGACTGCGAGCCGTGCCAGTAGAAGTTACAGTCTCCCAGCGCCTTTCGGCAGTTGGAGTTGCACATCTGCAATGCGGACGTGCAGGCCGACAGGCTCGACAAATAGCGAAATCCGAGATTTTTTTGCAGTACAGGGCCCAAGACCATCCAACCCAAACATCCCCAATGCTGTTGAGAACAAAGCTGAAAAGCCTGAGACGCATCAAAGTGCAAACAGCAAACGCGCGCACTGACAGTGCACACGCATCCGCCTTACATCGAGCTTCGCAATCTGTTCTGCCCATGGCCTCTGGTGGATAGCCCGACGGATGCCGGTGACAGAACAAGGCCACATAGATCCACATGAATCTACAAGGATCTAGTCCATCAGTGCACTCAACGCAATCCTTCCAAAACCTGAACTCCCTCAACCAATTTCACGACGGCATAAAGCACGCCTCCGCCTCGGTCTCGAAATGCACGCTGAGAAGGGCATCTAAAGGACACACGAGCTGGCCGCTGGCAAGGAGGTAAGGCGGCCTTGGAACGATTAGCTATACAGGACCACACAAAGGCTTGGGGGCCGCTTTGTGGGAGTTTCAAGGGCCTTGATAGGATTGCTTTTGATGCCTTTGCTTGATATTCCTAAACCCTAAACCCTAAACCCTAAACCCGAAACCCTAAACCCTAAACCCCTCGTGTTGGAAGGAGAGCGGCGGGATGAAGATGTTTCCGCCCTCTGCTGGGATGGACTCGAAGGCCTGCGGCGTCACCGGCATCTCCATGCCCTGGGGGAGTAGCGGCTTGAGGTTCCTTTTTCCCAGGCGTTGAGGGCTCTTTATAGGGTTTTGTTGGGCTGGAGCTTTTGAGAATTTGTTCTATGCCTCTCGGGGAGGAACGGTTTTGGGGTTTTGAGAGTTTTGAAGGCTTATAGGGTTTTGGAAGGGTTTTGAAGGTTCTTTTTCCCAAGGTTGGGGGTTTTTGAGGTTTAAGGTTTGAGGTTTAGGGCGGGTTACATGTTTGGAGTTCCGTACTGTGCAGACTGCTCAAAGTGGTCTCGTTTCATGAAACAAGTCCAGTCGATGCCAGGCATCCCATGCCGGAGGCGCACATTCCTCGGATCAGGGGCTACAGTGCTTCAAGCTGCGCGTCCACCTCACGCAGGTATAAAGTTGTGCTAAGCTTGCACATCGCCAGCAATCCTTTAGGCCGCCTCGCCTAAGCCTGCTCCACCATTGGTCAACCTACACAATGCTTCCACGAATTTCCCAGGTTCGCACGGGTGGAGGGAGTAGTCGTCGGGGATATCATCAGTGAAGGGGTTGTCCACGATAAATGGGCTAGCGCCTGGAAGGAGCAAATGTGATGGGAAAGCGCCGGGGCGACGCAAGAGGCTAGAATGGCTAGATGACCTGGCAGCAGCGCTGAAAGGGACAGTGCATGAGGAGCGGCGCAGCACCTTGAACTTAAGAAAGTGCCCTCGTCATATACGCAAAGGAACGACTCATTTAAGGGGCTGGGCTCGATTGTGATAGCACTCGTCGGGAAGAGAAACCGAGGCAAAAGGAGGCAACAATGATTTGCAGAAACCCATGATGAGAGGGCGCGATAGTCGAATTTGTGCTGGCAGCAAGGCTTCGAGACAGGACAACAAATTCGAAGGCCCCAAACAATTCAGAGTGGAATGGCGCGTTCACAGACTACAGTGCGTATTGGCTTTACCCCGCAAGAAAGAAGCCCGAGACTTCAAAGGTATCAAATGTAAGGGAATGACAGAAACTCCTCGCTATGGCTTGAAATAGATATGTTCACCCATGCTACCAGATGAAGGGGGTGCGACGTCAAGAAGATTCCTATCTTGGCCTGGAGAGGGGTGGATGTTCGGCCAACATCCACGCTCGAGGGGCAACATCCATGAGTGAGGGGTGGATGTTGGGCCTCCACGCTTGAGGGGTGGGTGCTGGGCCAACAGCCACGCTTGAGGGGTAGATGTTGGGCCAACATCCACGTTTGAACGCTTGAGGGGTGGATGTTGGGCCAACGTCCACACTTGAGGGGTGGATGTTGGGCCAACGTCCATGCTTGAGGGCTTGAGGGCTGGATGTTGGGTCAATGTCCACACTTGAGGGGTGGATGTGCCAACATCCACGCTGGAGGGGTGGATGTCCACACTGGAGCATCCACGCTTGAGGAGTGGATGTTGGGCCAACGTCCACGCTTGAGGGGTGGATGTTGGGCCAAGGAAGGGGGGTCGAGAAAACATCACGTTAAGACTCGAGTGTGCATCCTACGGGGGTTCTGGGGAGTTCTCTGTCCAGTCTGCGCCCTGGGATGCGCACTCAAGTCTTAACGTGATGTTTTCTCGACCCCCTGCGTGTCGAAAAAAGCGCCGTGTTAAAACTCCAGTGTGCGCCCTCCTTTTTTATCTTGCAACTCAATGTTTTGGACTTTGGACTTAGTTTGTGTAAAGCCTTCCCATGTCATTTGTTCCTGTTTTCTTTGTTTTATATATTTTCGGTTTTGTTGTCGGTTTTGTGTTTTTTGGTTATTATAAAAAAATGGCAGTTTTTCTCTATGTTTCCATTTGGTTGCGTATTTTGTCCTTATTATGACCAACTCGTTCGCTTTCTTGTTGAGCTTTGAGCTTTGGTTTTTGTTTAAGGTTAAGGTTTAGGGTTTAGGGTCTAGGGTCTAGGGTTTCGGGTTTAGGTTTTAGGGTTTAGGGTTTAGGGTTTAGGGTTTAGGGTTTAGGGTTTAGGGTTAGGGTTTAGGGTTTAGGGTTTAGCGTTTTAAGGTTTAGGGGCTTAGGGCTTGGGGTTCAGGGGTTTCGGACAGTTATTCGTACTCCTTAGGGTTTAAACTAGACCATTTAGGTGTTTAGGTTTTAGGGGCTGTTTAGGGGTTCAGGGCTTGCCGTTCGGGGTTTAGGAGAGCGGACGAGGAAGAGTTGAGCTTAAAGTTTTAAAGTCTAACAACCCCACACCGAGGGCGGGGAACATTTTCTTCAGCTGACAACCGACCAGAAGGAGGCATATGGGGAAGGGTTACCACATCTAGAGAGCTGGAAGAAGATGTTCTTCAGCTTCAGCCAACAACCCACCAGAAGAAAACCTTTGGAGAAGGATTACCACACCCAGGGAGCTGGGAAAAAGATTTTCTTCAGCTGACAACCGACCAAAAGATATGGGGAAGGATTACCACGCTCAGGGGCCTGGAAAAAGATTTCCTTCAGCTAACAACCGACCAGAAGAAGGCTTCTTCGGCTAAGAACTGACCAGAAGAAGGCTTCTTCGGCTAAGAACTGACCAGAAGAAGCCATAGGCCCAAGGGACTGGAAAAAGATGTTCTTCAGCGAACAACCAGCCAGAAGAAGGCAGATGGGAAAGGATTACCACGCCCAGGGGCTGGGGAAAGAGTGATTTTCTTCAGCTAACAAGCGATTACCACGCCCAAGAAACTGGAAAAACATTTCTTCAGCTAACAACCGACCAGAGAAAGGCATATGGCGAAGTACCACGGGGCTGGAAAACGATTTTCTTCAGCTAACAACCGGCCCAAAAATAGGCATATTAAAACAAAAAACACCACACCCAGGGGGCTGGAAAAAGACTTTCTTCAGCTAACAAGCGACCGGAAGACAACTTATGGGGAAGGAATACCACGCCCAGGGGTCTGGGAAATGATTTTGTTGACATGGCAGGGAAATTGGAACACGCCCTACAGCTAGGAACTGCTGAGAAGAAGCGAAGCTCACCTGACAAGTCGAGCCAAGGTGCCCACCGTCCTAGCCTCGACTTGAGTTATCGCCTCGCTTGCAAGGACTGGACCCCAGCAGCCTGGAATTCTTCTGCGCCGCAAAGATCGCCGCAGAATGGCTTCGCATCCCACCAACCCCTCACCCCCGCCCCCCCACCCCCCCCCCCGCCCTCATGCCAGGCATGCACGGAACTCTGACATTAACACAGAACCGAGACGGGCTTCAAACCGGAAAACCTCGCCCCCCTTCCCTCCCCCCTTTCCGTCCAGGTTTTCCGGGGGGGCGGGCGTGCAGGATGGTTTGCGACCTGAACTCTCCCCCACAACTGCTGGCGCGGAGACGGGGGAACGAGGTTGAAATTGATTTTCTTCAGCAAACAACCGACCAGAACAACGCCTTGGAAGCTGGAAAAAGATTCTCTTCAGCTGACAAGCGACCAGAAAACAGATGGGGATTACCACGCCAGGGGGCTGGAAAGAGATTTCATTCAGCCGGAAAATGAAACTTTCTTCAGCTAACAGCCGACCAGAAGAACGCATATGCGGATCACCACGCCCAGGAAGCTGGGAGAAAATCTTCTTCAGCTCACGACCGATCAGAAGAAGGCGTATGGGAAAGGGTCACGCCCAGGGGACTGGAAAAGGATTTTCTTCAGCTAACAACCAACCAGAAGAAAACTTATGGGGAAGGAATACCACGCCCAGGGGGCTAGGAAAAGATTATCTTCAGCTCAGAACCGACCAGAAAAAGGCCGATGGAAGGATAACCAGGCCCAACCGACTAGAAGAACGCATGTGGGGAAGGATTACCAGGCCCAGGCGACTGAAAAAATGATCTTTCTTCAGCCAACAACCGACCAGAAGAAGGCTCCAACATCCACGCTTGCGGCGTGTTGGGCCAACATCCACGCTTGAGGGGTGGATATTGGGCCAACCGGATGTTGGGGTGGCTGTTGGCCCATCTGCGCTTGAGGGTTGGATGTTGGGCCAGCATCCACGCTCCGAGGCCACCCACATGAAGAAGCAGCCCGGGACCCGGCCGAGGCCACATGACACCCACGACAAAGCAAAAGCTGCGTGACAACAGTGGTGGTTTTGACAGGGGCTTGTTGAGAAGCTATCTGCCGAAGCTGAGTCATGCGTCAGGCTTGCATGCAGCCAGAAAACATTACTTCCGCAGAATGCTCCAGAGCAGATTTCTTTTGCTCACGCACCCTGCCAAGCCTCATGAACCCGAAAACCGCAAACCCAAACGCGGTTTCCCTGTCCTTCTTCTTCTTCTTCTTCTGACGACGCCGTCAGGTTGATGGGCTTTGGGCACGGAGCTACCGCGAAGCTAGCCTCATGTAGCTGAAGCAACGGATACTGCGGTGAGAGGCAAGTGCAACAGCAACCCTCTGACTTTTCAATGGCCGAGGGAACCGAAGTCGGCTGGGCCCATAGCTCCACCACATCCACGACCACGCCGGCGGCAGGGTAACCGGTAGCACCATTGTGGTTATGCGTCTGCCAGGCTCCGACGGCATACCACCTGGCCCCCAACAACAGCCCCAGTTCTCTTCTTGTTCTTCCACAAGAGTAGGGTTTAAGGTTTAGGGTTGAAGGTTTTGAGGATTTCTTGAGAGGATAATAACGGCAGATATGATCGTCCGCTCAACCCTCTGCACATTGAATCCAAACCCTAAATCCTAAACCCGAAAGCCTAATCCTAGATCCTAGATCCTAAATCCAAACCCCAAATCCTAAATCCAAAACGACCACATGGGTCCTCGCCAGGTTGCAATATACATAGGTAGAGAGGGTTTAGGATTTAGGGTTTAGGGTTTAGGGGTTTGCATCAGCTCAGGCTTAGCCAAAGCTCCAACTGCCACCGTTATTGCCGTCCATGAGTGCGACGTGGCTCTTGGACAGCCCTCGAAAGCCGCTTCCGTGCGGTGCATCGATGGCCTCCTTAGTGATTGCAAACAAAACTTGGCTTGCTCCAACGACTACTAAGCAACCTTGTCCTGGCTTCGCGCAGGGCTAAAGGAAGCGTTGGAAATCGACATCCAGGAATCTCGAAGCCCCAATCAAAACCTTAAGCCTGATGATGTTCACGGCGATTGTGTTTTTTGGAGGTCCTAGAGGTTTTAACTCACCTTGGATGGCAGGGCGGGTCGGTGAGGCCGGCCAGTACTGAGATCGCCAGAGGAACAGCAAGCAAACCGAGACAGCCCCTTGAGCTCAAGTTGTGTCAAGAGCACTCCGGTCGTTGCTCATAGGCTGCACATCTCAGCCATCAACCGCAGATGCAAAGTTGTAGGCTGAGATACGAATGTTTTATTCCTACCCTGCACGATGGAGGTGGGGCTAGCGGCTAACTTCCCTTCGGTATAGCAGTTGGCTTTTTTGCCGTGATAAGGCCTTCTAGTGATATTCGTATATTATATTAATATTAGCGTGTTGTTTGCTGGACCCTGTCTCACCACCCACGCGTTAATAGAAGGAATTCGTACTACAATTGGGATGATCTGAAAAGGCCGCCAGGAAAGGTTGGGTTTTTTGTGAACAAAACGAAGACACGAAGATAAATGAGTAGCATTATTTATAGCCCTTTCAAGTTTTTCCTGATCCAAAAGATAACAGGAATTCCAGGAATTAAAAGATCTGGAAAGGGTGGGATTCTTCTTGGCATGACATTAAATCTAAGGAATGCGTTGGGGAAAACGCGAGAAGGATTCCACTAAACAATAAAGTGTAGATGAAAAAGAGTGTTCCAAAGGATGAAAAAGTAGTTCATTCTTAGCACAAACAATCCTTTCTCCGTTACAAACTCTTCCAGAGAAGATATACATTATAGCCCCCGACAGAAAGCACAAAATCAAAACGAGCTACAGCATAAGATCTTTCATGTAATCCTGGATCTACTGCAGATCGAAAAACCTTTCCTGCAGAACCACCCATAGTAAACGTCAAAAGATATAGAAGAAGACAGAACTAACTCTAGCGTAATAATGGTGGATTTCCAAGATATGTAAAAAGCCAATTAAAGCCTGTTGTACCAGTTGGTAGGGATAGTCAGATTGTAACTCCTTAAAAATAAGCTCCTGTGTCACTGTCACTTTCTAAACCTACAGTATACATATGATACCCCCAAACAAGACTTCCAAGAAGAGAAACAGATGACGATTGGTTCGCCTCCCCCCGCCCCGCGCCCCCCCCCCCCTCCGAGATTTGCAAACTGCTCGCGTGACGAGTTTCAAGAAGATTCATATGCAGCTTGCCCGGGGGGGAGGGGGGGGTATGGCCTTCAAAAAAATCAGATGCTTTAAAACAGCAGGGGGGTCAGGGGGGGGCCTGCTGCGCCCCAACCCCCCCCCGCCATTTGCAAACACCATCTTCGCATATGGTTTTCAAAAACAACTCGCTTTCTTCGAGACAAGCTTTGCACCCGCCCGTGCCCCATTTGCAAACACAACGTGCGAAAGATGGGTGTCATAAAGACCTTTATGTTTGGAAGCTAGAAGCTAGCCTGCATGGCCTAAACAACCCGGAGCGGGCGGGGGGGGGGGGCCTTGGGACGGTGCAGCCCCCTCCCTCGTTTGCAAACGCAATGCTCGCATGATGGGCTTCGAAAAGACTGATATGCTTGAAGCAAGCTTGCAGCTTGCTACCTCTGTTTTGGCAGGGAAACCTCTGGTTTCTCTAAAAAGAAATTTCTGTCGGTGTAATGGAGAGGAAACCTCTATTTTCTCTATATTCACAAGAAAATCTCAAGCCTCTCTATGTTTTCAGAAGAACACCCTTCTTGTCTCAATATTTTTTTCTCTAGCTACGTTTTCCCACGGAAAACCTCTACTTGCGACGCATTTTCATGGGGGGGGGGGGGCCCCCAATGCTCGCATGATGGGTTTCAACAAGACTCATATGCTTTGAAGTAAGCGTGCACGGCCATTGGAAGCTATTATCACTATCTTTTCAGAAGCGGGTCATTCAAAAAGCGGGGGGCGGTTGAGGGCGCACCTCCCCCCTCCATTTGCAAACGCAATGCTCGCATGATGGTTTCAAGAAGATTCCGCGGCTTCAAATAGCGGCGAGGTTTGGCCCTCAACACCACATCACAAGCTGGCAACGCAGGTCAAGGTCAGAGATTTGTTCGGGCTTGGGGCGGCATGATTGCCAACTCCAGGTCCAGGAAAGCTTGGAAGCTTCGCGAGCTTTAGAGTTCCACCCACCCACGAAGCCGCCGTAGACCAGTTTTGGGGGCTTTTGGGTGAAGGAGTCTTTTGCGCCATCTTTTACCGAGGAACGTAGCCATCGACAGTCCAACTCGTCAAGGGGTCCGACGTCTGCTTCCAGACTTGGTCCGCGAGCCCGCTGCCTGGCCAGGACAACCTGAAATCAGGGCATCTCGGCAGCTGCAGCCACTGCCAAGTCTAATCTACTAATCTGCTGCGCATAGCGAGAGTGGACCTGCCCAGTAACTTGAAGGCGAAACCGCCGTCAACCCGGAAGTTCTCGCGCTGGTCCAAGATCGAATATTGGTAGGCGGACGGATTTCCGGCGTTACTGCCAATGCAAGGCAGTAGCTGAGCAGTCACTGCCGTTCTGCACACCGTGCTGCGGCCATGTGCTGGCAAGGCTCAGTGAAAGCTGATGTTGAACCCAAAGATGTGGCATCGTTTGGCGGAGCAAGAGCACATAGGAGTCGTGGAGCGACCACTGGCAAACAAGGTTTTTGCTGCCCTCTTCTTCGCTTCAGACTCTCCTCTTACTCTCCATCTTCTTCCTCCAACAATCAGAGGAGACGCCACGACAGGGCCACGAAGTTCCACCTCCCCTGACTCCGGGTCCTGGGACTCAACTGCAAGGTGTGCTGCTGTTCTTCGGTTTGGATGTGGCTGTGCTGGCTTAGAGGCGGGAAAAGTTCAGTTTGTGTTAAACAAACATCCTATATGTTCAGACCCCATGTAGTCACTTCTCCAAAGTATGGTCACTTTTTGGGTACCCTAGAAAAGAGGTGCCGCGCGCTTATAAGGACCAACAGGAACCATATTTTCGAGAACTTCGAGAACTCTCCATGTGTTTGTGCTTGGATGGCCAGGCAGCAATAAAATCCAGCTCCGGCATTGCCTGCCGGAGGATCCTGAGATGAGAACAGCCAGAACAGCCCATCCTAACTCCATAGTGAAGCCATGTGACTGCAAAAAGCCTGGTTGTTGCTGTGCTTTTGGCTTGGTTTTTCCTGGGCCGCGCTCACGAAGAGCGGATGGCAAGAATGGCAAAGCTGCCAGGGTGGTTTTGGTTGCGCGACTGTGCATTTCTGAACACTGAACTCAGATTCTTTTCAACCAGGTCAGATTCGTAGGTGCCCCCGAAACCCGTCTTACGGCGCACATGTGCCGCATGTGCATCGAGGAAGGACGCCAGCCGAGGCTCCAGGAACCATCACTAGAGGCGCTGACGCCTTCCAAAGCCTGGGTGAATCCCCCGCAGGGCGAGTGCAGGAGGCCAAGCTCTCGGCTGAATGGAGATGAGCGGCACCATCCAAAGAGCTCGAGTACTTGGCCAGATAGAGAGTCTCTTCGGGTGTCATCCCGTCCTGCACAAGTGTCCAGGCTATTTTCTGATCACAGGGTTCTCTTTGCAAGGCACTTGTGCCCCGCCTTTGTAATGAGAGAGGACTTGTGCGCAGACTATTGCATTAAGGCGACGCTAAGATCAATCTACACCTCTCTCCTTGCGGTAGAGCATGCTGCTGCGAAACAGATCACGAGAGACAGGGCAGTAGATTCCAGCCTTGTACCTTGCTGCAAAGCAATGGAGCTTAGGGCTTCCCAAGGGCTCCTAAGGGCTTCTAAGGCTTACTAAGGCTTCCAGAGGCATTTGAATTGAGCAAAGATGAGCAAAGGCTCCAGTCGCCGTGCGTGACCTCCATGCATGCCGAGTCCTCGGTGCATTTCGTGACCTGGCAGAAGAAGGTCAAATTGAGCGCGCTTGAGGACACACTTGCCGAGACCTGAGGACTTGGAATAACAATGACACGAACAATGACACGACATCCTGGGGGAATGCTGGTCAAACATCCACATGCACAAAACGGCACTGCCCCCCTCGAGTGAACTCTTCCTTCATAGGCGGTAGAACTTCAGCATGCAGCTAGCTCATCAAACCATGTCTCGTTCTCTTTGTTGCGAAAAGGGGGATGAAAAAGTCAAACGTGAGATCCGGCAGCGCCTTGACCACAGCACTCTCTGGGCCTCCTCTTTGGACTTCACGACTTCCTCGGTATCTCTCCAAGATTCTGGGGGGCAAGCCTATATCAGTGCCAAAAGGTCGTGAGAGGGAGCATCTTCGCATCTCGGCATGTCTGTTTCCGGCCGTGCGTCGGTAGCACTGGTTTACTTGCATAATGTAGCCGGAACATGTCGCATCCAGACGGCATGCAGCCCGGCAGTCAGCCTGATTCGCTTTTTGGGGTATGTTGATGACTTGTGTGGCTTTGGGTCTCAAGACCTGACCGCAAAGATGCACAAAGGCTTCTTGCCAGCCTAGTGCTGACTAAACTGCAAACCATACAGCTGCTTATTGGAGAAGGAGAAAGCTTGGCCTCATTGAACTCGAACAGATGTTCGCCGAAACCCGCGACAGTTTTTGGGACCTCGAGTCCAAGAGGTCGCATGGCCATGTAACTACGGGGGCATCTTAGATCATCTTAGTGTCTGCCACTCTGGTTATTCCAACCTGGGTTTTGGCTTGGTGCCCTTTGCATGATAGGTCCACGGCCCAGCAGGTGTCATCCAGAATCACCACGTTGAGGTCCGCCTGCAGCACGACCCTCAATCTGTGGGCATGTTGGAGCATGGGTGTGTTGCAACGCTGGACAGGGGCTACCCCTGTCGCAGACTTCTCTTGTGAAGCATGACAAGATGTGGAAAGCGCGCCGCATGGAGCACGGCTGTGTCGTTGAGGCATCGAGCATCAAAGTACATGAAGGCTTTGCTCGTGTTACCGCTGTTGCCTGCCCTGAGAATCCCAAAGCAAAGAGGGGGGGGGGGCCATCGGTTGCAGGGTGTGCGCAAAACTCGGTCTGCCTTGATCGGCGGCACAGATGCCAAGTCCGGAAAGACTCCCCAGACCGAGCAGGTCAAAGAGATCCTCCAAACAAAAAAGAAAGCAAAAAACAGTGGATGAGAGAAAGAAAGAGAAAGAAGGCGAGCTTCGGGCGGCGTTAGACGCCACTTCATGCTGCATCTATGAGCCCATGGCCAGCTCCGCTCCTTGTTTACGTCTATCGCAGCTCCGACACTAAACGAGAGGCAAGCTGAACGTTCTCAATGTTTGAGGCTGGTGTCTCGCTGCGTTCAGAATACCAGAAAATGCTCAGAGCGTCGAAGATCTTCCTAGCCAGCCCTGCCAGTCGTGACCTGGGTGAATGTTCAAGCCTGTGTCTGGAGGACCAGCTCATCCTTAACGCGTCCGCCCCCCAAATCTTCCACGTCCTCCTTCTGATGACGTTGCTCGTCATGGAATCGAAGACGGTCGAGAGCCTCAGCGGGGTGCGTCGACGACTCACGACGAATCTGAATGAAGTTCCGATCTCTCACCCGGCACAGGGTTGAATATCCCATCACACTGACCCCCCCCCACATTGAACCCCCCCAAGTCTGCAGAGTGCTCATCGGACTTTTCCCCCCTGAACTCGGAAGCTCCAGAATCAAACGCCGAAGAGTGGCCCTGGGTCAGGAGCTACGGCGATGGATCCTTCTGGTGTAACCTGGCGAACTCAAGGAACTCTGAAGGCTCAGGCGCAACGACTTGAGGGGTTTCTAAGGGCTCTCTCTCTCTCTCTCTCTCTCCCTTCCTTTCTTTCTTTCGAAGGGCATGGGAGCCAAAGCCCCCTCCCTCTCCCTCTCCCTCTCCCTCTCCCTCTCCCTCCCCCTCTCCCTCTCCCCCTCCCTCTCTCTCCCTCTCTCCCTCTCTCTCTCTCTCTCTCTCTCTCTCTCTCTCTCTCTCTCTCTCTCTTTGAACAACAAAAAACGAATGGAAGACTAAACTTTACTAAACTCAAAGAAAGTCACAGTACACGCCTGTTGCATTGGAAGCTGCGGGGCATATGACATCCACAGAGTTGCCGCCCGAAAATGCCCGAAAATGGTGAAAAAGGCTCTTCGCTAGTCGCCAAGGCTACTGGCTTAAAGAGGTGCGGGGAGAGGATATGAGAGGATTGCGCGGAGGCCTCCAAAACTGGGTAGCCCTCGACCAAGCCCGTGTTCAGCAGCTCATTGAACTCGTACTTGACCGACGCGACCCCCGACGAGCAGGACACTTTGAAGGACTTGGCAGCGCTGTGGCAATGTACAATGTACTGCCGGCTTGGATACTTGTTGTCAGTGTTGTGTGTTAGAGAATATGAGAGTTCATAGTGGCCTGGATGTTTGTCGCGAGGGCTCTGAGGAAGAGGAAGACGGGTGTTTATTGTCGGGGTTTGGATTTTTCACACACAAGAGAGTCAGGGAGTTCAGGGCTTCAGGAGCTTCTTGAGTGACAAATGAATGAAGCCGTTGACACTGCATATCCCGGCGGCACAACAGCGCTGCCCTACACCCGGCATCCCCAACAAAAAGACAAAAATCGGAGGAAATCTTGACTACTAGGCGCATCTAGACGCCCGGGCCCTCTTTCGTCCCAAGGCTCCGAAGGCGCCAACAGCCCCGTTCCCGCAGGCCGCACCAGCTTCAGGAGCGGGAGCTGCTCCCCAAGGGTTGCGGACACGGCCGCAATCTGGGCTTGAGGGAGTTCTGAGTTCAGGGGCCTTTCGAGGCGTCAATTCGGCGCAGCGTACTTGGGGGTTTTATGCTCTGTGCAGAGCCGCTTGGTGAATCGTAAGCATCTGCGGGTTCGGGTCTATGGAGTTATAAGGTTTTGAGCGTTTTTGGCTTGGGCTTTGGGTTCAGGGTCCAGAAAGGCTTAGACTGCCCCACACCGGACATGATCCTTCAAGACCCTGAATATATCGGGAACCATCTCTCGCGGCCCGACGTCCCCAGAGAACAAAACTTATGGCTACCTTGTAAGCGCGATGGCGAATGCACAAGGAGATCGCTTTCTAGATGTTGCTAGCTTGCCCAGGCAGGTTCAAGTGGTTCAATCATCAAGCATGTCTCAATTCCATGTTCAAGGAGTTGAACTGCACAACATCAAGCGGTGGACTGCAGAACTGCCAGCACACTGAATATCAGTTCATTGATACTCCACCAAGGTCCCGCAGGTCTCATGCACGGCTCAGACAAGGCAAACCAGGCCTCGTACGTCAAACTGGTCCACGGCAATCGGCCCAATGCTACGAAGCGAGCCTCTCCGACTCTTTCGGGGTTTGGTGGCAAGACGTGCTCAAACGCCCAAACACCCGCATAAATTGGCACGCGTACACACAGATAGATATTGTCTACATTTTGCCTAATGCAAACTACATCTTCCTATTTATTACCTATTCGGTGCCGTTTATCTCAGCAAGCTTATCTAGAAGACTGTTTCTTTATGTTCGTTGCTTGCCATGCAATGGGTTGTTGTCAGATACTGCCCACGAAAACCTACACTCTGGCTGTGCAACTGATCTTGTATGCGTTCATGTTGTTTGGTTGTGCTTGCATAGCTTTCCAACTACTTGTCATGGACCAGGCCGCACACCTATAGCTGAGTTTGAAACTGGTTTTGGCTTATGTTTCTTCCCCTAAGATAGTTCATAGATAGTTCTATAACTTTTGGGCTGAACTTAACAAAGCGGGCGCAGAGAACGGGGCCCTCCAACGAAAACGTTCCTTCTTCGCAGCTCCCAGCTGGCCGTGGCTTTTTGGGTCCGGAGGATAGGTCCCTAGTGGTCCCTACATGACTTTTTCGGGCCGGGGCACGCGCTTGCACGCGCTTTGCGAAGTTCGGAGAGCCACCCCTCGTTCCGAATCTTCGATGAAACGATGCTCATGATGCTCGCTTTGTGGGCTCCGGCAGCGCCGCCACACAGGGACCTCGTTCGACACCTCATCTTCGGTGTCGAACGAGGTCTGGGCAACTTGGACCAACCGTTCGACGCGTGGAAGAAGGCATGTTGAACGGATTCTGGCGGCATGGCCCCCCAAAGAAGCATCGCTTGCAAGCGTCACGAGCATCAATGGTACTCGTAAACACCCTGCCGCGAGCCCGCCCTTGGGCAAATCGCGCCACACCCTGGCCGCTGTCTGTCTGAAGCACCGAAGGCAGCATAGGTATGTGTTAACATGAACATGCAGATATAATCTCAAAATGAACACGCATATGTATATGCATATATTTAGAAATGATCACCCCTGCCAGCAACCCGCGCTACCTACGGTGTTTTTTACTCTTTCTATACACACCATAGACTTGATGCGTGCGTATCCTTTCGCTTGTGTTACTTGTGTTTAAGTTCCCAAAATCCGGTTCGACAGATGATATCAACTCTACACAAAGAGTGTGCTTTTCCGTTCCCAACCCTTCCCCCCGCACTGATTTCAGTGCCTTCCCCTCCCCCCCCCCCCCGCCCTCTCCTGTGGGACCCCGCCAGATTGCTTGGAGGAGCTTTACACCAAAGCAGGACCAGCTGAAGCAGTTCGAGCTTCGCTCCCTATAGATCTGTGTCGAACACGGTACATCAATGGGAGCAGAATCATACAGAGATGTACTTTCTTGGCTTAAAAAAAAAATTAACTGCATGCCCTTGTTGCAGCGGCCGGCCTTGCGCTCCGTGAATGTGGCCTCACAAACGGCAGTTATAGCTGAGGGGGGGCTGAGGTACACAAGTTCCAGAGAAGAGACGGCTCAACGATGAAGCGTTTCAAAAGTACGTCACAGCGGCACCTCGTCGTGCTGCTGGAGGGCAGATTCAGGCACCGTGATCTTCGAGCCATTGGTATCTGGCCCTTGATACTCGAGCTTCCAAATTTCCGACCCGCCCCCCTCGCACATGGCCACCTCCAGCTGGTGGGTGCCGGAGTGTAGGAAATGGCTTGAACTGGTTTTCGCCCAAAACCCGCACTTGGGCTTCGAGATGATCATCTGGCCGTTTAAGTACGTGACCGCGCCTCATGCCAAACTCTTCGCTCAATCAGATCTCTCATCTCTCTCTCTCTCTCTCTCACACCACATCTCTACTCATGCCCCCGCTTGGCAAGGCACCATCATCCGAGGATTGCGTAAACTGGTAGTAACCCGGAAGCGTTATGACCAGGTATCCTGTGCACCTGCATGTCGATGCTCGGGAAGCTGTTGGGTGCACAAGACTGGCAAAGATTGGCCCGCCTGATGCAAAATAGGCTGGTTTGCTGCGCCTCGGGAAAGTTGTTGTAAAAGTCGATTTGTGGCACCACGACGCTGTTCCCCGGGGTCCTTCCATGAGCTCTCGATTTGTTCTCAAGTCGGAAGATCAAGGCAGCAACTTTTTCAAGTGCTGACGTGGGTCTTCTGTGAAAGGTCTGGCACGTGGCACGTCAACGTGCCGTAGTAATACTGACACTGGAGACCAGCTGGGCTGTCCGAAGCCAGCGCCTCTGCATCACGTCTGCGCTTCAACGAGCTCTGAAACCCGCAAAGGCCGCAAAGGGTGTGGGGGTGGAACCAGGACTGGTTCAGGACTGGTTTCAGGGGTTCAAGAGACAAGCCGTATTCCAGGCGCCTTGTGAAGGGCCTTCACAACGCAAATCCCACCATGTTGGCCTGCCAAAGTGGCGTCCTGGCAGGAGCATCAGCTCCGAGTAGCGTTGAGAGTTTTCAGGGGATCGGGGGCTGGCCGGGCTTGAATGCACTCTGCTTTGTCTCGTCTGCATGCTCACATGATGCCCCTGCACCTCTGTGTCCACAGATCCGCCGGCCGTGCCCGAAGTTAGCCGGAGGTCCCCCGTAGTCGAGTCCACCTTCCACACAGCATCACACGTCGCTGCAACATGCTGCAAATGTTTGGACATCTCAGGAGAGTGGACTTGTCACGAAGCGAAACATGTCACCCCTCATCCCTTATCCGAGCCTGCAGCCAGTCCACAACCGGTGCACACTGCACCTCGAAGTCTTTCCACTCGCCGGGTGCCTGCACCAAAAAGAACAGAACCTTCCTGAGAGGCCTTTCTCCGTCATTTCTTGAACGAAATCTTGCTGCTTTAAACATGCTTAAACCCTTGCACCTTGCAAATGTGTGCCAGAGCCAGGCCTTGCTGGCCACGGTCGGCTGGGGCGCCTTAACGCCTGCTCCTACTTCTGAGGGAGGCCTAGGGAAACAAAACACACGGAACAACACCTCTCCAAGCGGAGATGCAGCTCTGCAAGACTCACAAAATTGCTCGGAAAAGGCTTTTGAGGCTCCTTCAAAGAAGAGCACCGGCGCCCCGTAGTTCAGGAAGTCCATGGCAATCTTCACGGGCGTGTCGTAGGTCAGTCCCGGCGCCTCGTGTCATGAAGTCGCTTCACAAAGAGTTGTGGGCAGTTGCAGGAAATGTCATTGGGGCGGCACGTGCCTGATGAGCTGTCACCGTGCACTCGACGCTGAAACTCTCGACTCGGCGCGGGTAGAGGCTTCCCGTGGGCCGCGAGATGATCCCGGTTGCACCATCCATCTGCAAGCCGTAGTCCGGAAATTCACAGTCCTCGTTGAGGGAATAGCGTGGTGCAGTGCGGACGGAGGGCAGCACTCGCACAGAGCTGCCCAAGACCAAGTGCACGGAAGGGTAGAAGAAGGGAGTGGGGCTAATGATGCCGCCGCCACACGTGCAGCATGCCTCGCAAAGCAGCAGTGACAAGCAGTGACGGTGCGACAGAAACTTACAGGAACTAGGACCTTTGGGGCGCCCCAGGCCTCGTTGCTGCTCTTGCCACGGACCTTGATGTCATTGCAGTCGGCAGCGGCGAGCTGTGGGCATGTCTTTCCGGCCAAGTTCGTCCAACCGGCCGAATCTGCGCAAGCGATGCAGTTCCCTTCACGCTCGATGAAGCCACCGGCGCACTCCCTGCAAGCAGCGCCATCAGAGGTAGCCCTGGCACAGCCAGCACAGAAACGACCGCTCTCCTCGCAACAGGTAGACGTCGAGACGCTTGGCCCATAATGCCTCAGCTCGATGTGAGCCGATTGGCAAGTCGTTTCGACCTGCGACGTGATGTTCGCCTTGGCCTGGGTCTCCCTCGCCGTTGCCCGAGAAAGACGAGCCGAAGCGGAGGCTTGGGTCGCTTGGGTCGCTTGGGACATGGCAACCTTCTTCTTGGACCTGGCATAGGCCATGGGTTCAGGGTTGTGCTGCAAAACCCTACACACCAGTGCCTCTCACGGCAGCCCTGGAACAGGGAGGTGTTCCATCGCGCGGCCTGTGCAAAGGGAGTGCTGCAGTACGAGAAGCCAGAAGACATGATGCAGATACAGCCCAATGGATATGAACCACCATCCAAACGTGATGTGATGTGACAGGATCCACTCTGGAGCCCCCCTCTGACAGTGGTCGTCGTCATACATCATACATCATACATCATACATCATACATCATACATCATACATCATACATCATACATCATACATCATACATCATACATCATACATCATACATCATGCATCATACATCCTCATCCTCGTCCTCGTCCTCGTCCTCATCCTCACTTCGAGGTTCATTGTACGTATTCACCAATTATAACTGTACTTATAACCCACTTATAAGCCCCTTAAGTGCCCTAATATGGTTTATAAGTACAGCTATAAGTAGTACAGTTTTACTTCTTTATTACGTACCATGAACCTCCAAGCATCCTCATCCTCATCCCCATCTCCATCCTCATCCTCATCCCCATCATGATCCTCACCATCATCCTCATCGTCATCGTCATCGCCATCCATCGTCATCATGGTCATGACAGCTGTCTGACAGCATGGTTCAACATTCTAACCAGCAGCAACAATGTCGTCGTAGTCATACGGAGAGGCCCGCCCCCCAATATCGATACGAAGACATGTATCAAGGTGACTTCCTTGACGTTTTTGCCTTGATGCGTCACGACAAAGCCTACTGGGGTAAAAGGAAAAGGGTTGATTCTTTACAAGTCTGAGAGACACCTTGAAAGCAAGAACATGCTGCTGAGATTGGGCACCCCAGATCTCCTGCCTCTGCCTGCACTCCAACTGCTCCAGCTGCCTCACCTTCCTCCAGCTCCTTCTTCATGTCCTCGAGTTCTTCGAGCTTCTCCTCAGAAGCGATTGACACAGCATGGCCATGCTGGCCCACACTTGACGTGATTGAGCCCATATCAAGCCGGAGGGGCGCATGGGCACGCTAGAATCTGAGTCCAAGAGGCCAAGAGCTTCTTCATGTCCGGATGATGGAGTTGAACGCACGCTGTGTCCTCAACGTCGTCGTCAGCGCCATGACCATGTCTTGCGTGCGCGTGGCACACATGACACCTGGGATGAAGGAGTAAAAGAAACCTGCAGCAGCAGACCACACAAGCTTTCTACTCCATAGTCCCTCCAAACATGCACTCAAAATGTTGCAACGCTGCTCGTAGGCCTGACAGCACTACAGCAATCATGATGTGTCAACACCCAGGAAGCAACACCGCTGCAACTTCGCAACTCTCACGACACCATGTACACGAAGACATGAGTGTCAGAGAAGATGCGGCGCGTGCAAGGGCAGAACGATGAAGAAAGCCAGACTTGAAACAGGGCACGCCAATAAAAACAGTGCTCGTAGAACGAAGAATGCCATGCGGATAGCTATCTCGCTTGGCACATTTTAAGCGCTGTTGGCACATCGAAAAGGAAACACTGCGGATGCGAGCCGTGCATGCTGACAATTCAATCAACAGCTGATGGGTTCGAATGTCATTACCGCGCAGCGCCTAAACAGATTTAAGATACTTACGGCCACAGCTACGTCCCTCTGGGTTGGACAGGTGCTCCATGTCGATCCATGTTCCCATGTCAACAAAAAGCACTAGGCTGAGACGAAAGGCGCACTGTGTGCTTCGCTTGTGGGATTTGCATCGGATTCCTGCTTTGACTTGCACTGCTTCTCAGCATTCACTGAGAGGCTCGCCGACATGTTTTTTTTTCCCCTGCCATGAGCTCCCTCAAAGGACCGTCATGGATCGCACTTTGGGGGGACCCACACTCGGAATCGGCCTCTTGCGCTTGCGCCCGCCTTCCCCTAATCTTCGGTCCAGGGGCTTCGTTCCACTGAGCTGTTAAAACGGCTATTGCCACTCTTTCAACCGCCTGTTCTTGATGGAGTTATGTTTTCTGTGCGCAAGATACGACCGTCTGATACATCGCTCACGGGAAAACAAAAAACAAAAAACAAAAAGGAAATGATGAACACGACATTGGGTACCTAATTGAACGTTTTTTGCAACATAGTTTGCCGGAGCTCTTTCTGCTGTTGAAAAAATGCACAAAAGCAGGAAAATGTTAAATCCATGTACATGAGCTAAGTACTCGAGTGATTGTGTGACCTCCTTAGACTCCTTAGATGTAAGAACCGCATGAAACATCTATCGTTGCGTAGCTTCAATGAGAGCGGACCTGGGCGTAGCACTAAACATGTGCCGGTGTGTAGAAAGTAACTGAAATACCAACGTGTCTGGCTGCATGCTGGCTTGCTGCCCGTGATAACACTTCAAACGCCGGAGCCCCGACAGAACGTGTTCCAGCACTTGGCCACAAAAGAATCCCGGGCTGCTTTCTGTCCACTGTGTGCAGAACAAATATGTTGGAGCAAAACGATCACTTTGTCTTGCTTTTCGTTTTTTAAAATAAAATAATTCCACTGACATAAATAACAAAGCCATTGTATGTTGTCACTTGCCAACAACCCTGTCCTCTAGCCAAAACGCCTGAGAACACACCAAGCAAACTAAAAGTTGGCCTTTTGAAATCAAGTGTTCCTAGCAAGGGGAACCCGAACAGTGACATGTCCTGGAACGCCTGGCAAGACCCACAATGGTTTGTGCTAGGGACCTGATGAGGACCTGCGGCATCTGCTGAACCTGGGACGCCTGGCAAAAGACCCACAGGTCTGTGCTGCAATGGGACCTGAGGACCTGTGGCACAGCGCTTCTTTACTGAGGCTCTGGGCATTGCTGGCTAAACTGCGACGCAGCCAAATGCAGCGCAAAAGATCATCTCGCAAAAAATGAAAAAAATAAGAAAGCCTTTTCAAGCCCTTCCTTCAAAGCCCTCTTTAAATTAAATTTAAAAATTCCACAGCGAATACCTCTTGAAGTTTTAAGTCCCTTCTGAATCCCAATATTAGCCTCCTTTTAAGTCTTTACACAATTTAAAAAAAAAATCACAAAACAGCTCTTCCGCAGCTGTAAGAAATTTCAAGCGTGGCCAAACACGCATGGCAGCAACGGGTGCCCTTATCGTCTTAGTTTGTGCTCTGAAAAGAGGCGTTCGCAAAGAAATCAAACAATTACAAGAAAATCCAACAAGGAACAAAGCCTTTCCGGGTACAAGTCTATCTCCATCGTGCCGCACGTAGGGCAATTAAACCAACCGCTAAAAGAGAAATCCATCGTCAGAAAGCAGACCAAGGCAGACTTAAGGTTTGGGGTTTTGGGTTCAGGGTTCCTATTTAAGGCCGTTGGGCTTGCCAGCACATCCACCTGCTGCGCCGACGTCGCCTTGGTTCTGAGGCTTTAGGGTTTTGGGGTTTATCGGGTTTAGGGTTGAGGGTATAAAGATTTCAAAAACTCAGATATCCCCATTCCGGACGGCATCCCTGAGTGGGGAGTTGATGAGCAAGAGCTGCCCCCAATGCAGGTCATGCCCAGCCGTACGCGTTCCCATACCACCTCCGATGGCCATCGCTCTCGGCGTTGAAACTCGTGGCACAGCTACGGGGCCTAAGGGACCTCAGGTCAAGACTACACTCAACCCTCACAGCACGAAGTGCGGACTCTTTTCACTGCGCTGTTCACAGCTTCTCGAGCTCCGCTCGTCTTGAGCCAATGCGAGCACGGCTCTCCAGCTTCAAACACTGTCTGCCAGACATGGGAAAACAAAGGTACTTCAGGTGAAAAACACTCAGCCATGGAACTTCTCCTCCTAAACACTGTGGGTAGGTTCCTAGCACCTTTTAGGTGCTCTGCTGAGCTCTGTGCAGACCTAAACTGGCTTGAGTCACTTCTGGTCACCAAATACCAGGTCACAAACGGGAAACGAGTTCCGACAAACGAGTTTCGAGAAAACGAACAGAAAACGGTTCTTCCTACTCAAAACAAGGTCTCACCAAGCCAAAAGAAATCTGCACTGCCTGACATGTCCTCGTGCCTATGCTTCACACTCATAGCAGACAACTCAAGTGCACATCACGTGTCAACTGGGAAACTAGGAGGGTCACATATATCAACTCCCCCTCATGACCAAGAGTTTCACTGTTGGTCACGTCAACTAAGCTCCACGCAAAGCCAACTAAGCTTCTCGCCGGGCCATGGATTCCGGCGCATTCCTCAGTCCTAGACCGCTGTACTGCTACAGACCGCTGGAGGTCGACTGACTCTCGCAAAGTAACCTGGCTGGGCGGGTGGGCGGGTCAGCCAGGGCGGGCGGGTGGGCTCAAATTATCGCAGTCGCAAGCTTTCCAGGGCGACGTCCGCGAAAGCTGGCGGATAGTGCTGCGTTTCTTTGAGATCAAAGTTGCGTGAATGATCTCCCTTGCAGGAACATGCAAATGTTTCGGACATTGTTCGCACAAACTGTTCATCGTTCGACATCAGTTTCCAAATCTTTCGGATAGGTAATCCATCTCTGCCTACCAAGCCTGAAGCACAGCCGTGCACTTCGCCAGTGTAATGGGTTCGTTGCTTTGCAAACGAACGGGTGCTTGCCCATCCCCAGTAGGCACACCGCTGCGGCCATTCTATGACCCATACCCCCACTTGCGGGTGGTTCACCATCACTAAGAAGCTCCGCCAGAGCTTGCGATGCACCGTGAACAAAGCTTGTAGATGGTCCTGATAGCCCGGCCGATCTTCGTGTCGCCGTTGGTACGGGCTACCTCCGGTACAAGGAGTGCTGCTCCAGAAGACAACCTTCATCCCCCATTCTCTTGCAACATTCATTGCAGACATGACCCGCTCCACGGTGTCATTCGAGGTCCCGTCAACCCCTTGAGTAATCGGCAAGACGAATACTTGGTGCACACTTCCTTGCAGGTACAGATTCGAACGTGAACTCGTGCAAAACTCGATCAGCAAAGTTGAATATTCAGTCTCGAGTTCGCATAGCCGACA